CAGCCAAACAAAAGCAACGAGACTGACTCAGACGATGACGAGAGGAATCCAGGCTTACTTGATGCCTCAAAACCCGGACACTGAGGATGAACAATTTGACGGATTTAAGAGGAATGATTGAAAAATTAGGTGTATTTTTCTGCAGTGGTGGTTTTTACGTGTGCTACAAGTATGCAATATTGACTGTTAATGTTACTGTTGCAGATATTGTTACACGTGAACAATTTGACAATTATTGTTAATGAGTTGAATAAAGTCTGATCTACCCGACTGTTGTGCTTCGCTTTATGCGCCTTATAATCCGGTACCCCTTATGTATGAAAAAAAATCTTAGATAGTGCGTTAATAGTTAGTGCGCCTTATGGTCCGAAAAATACGGTAACAGAATTTCCCCACCTTCCAGTGCTTCGGGTATTGTTAAAAATTTAGGACAAGAAAGGACGGGCTTCTAGATAAAAGCCAGCCTACACGTTGTCAAATGGCACATAAAAACTCTTGTTCAATGGAGAAACTACAACTTTAATTGAGAAACGTAAGAGAGTGCTGCATTCCAGACATAATTAGAATTAAATGACATAGGCGATTATGGAATGACCTTATTCACCTCTGGCTGGCATTCTTAATAGATGTTAGGAAAAGTTAGGAAAAGGAAGCTGACCATCCTACATAGACCGGCTGAGCATGAAACTTTCATTCCAGTCTGACACCCTCATATATAAAACCGATGCACAGCAGACCAGGGCCAGAATAAAAATATGCAACACAGACGAATAAGAAAGACAGATCTGGACTCAGAGACGATTCCTTCCTTCTACAGTGCAGTAACTGGTGATATCAAGAAAAAGTGCTGAAAAGTTGAGAATGGGTGCTACATCTCATACCGACGATGCTCTGCCAATGTCAATATCCAAAAATGATGGATGACTTAGACAAGAAATGAATAGAAGCTACTTCGGCCTAAAAGCGGAACAGAAGTTTTATAAGAAATCACCAAGAAAGTGACTGCCGAGTAAAACGACATAGCAGCTCACAGATACACTGGCTGAGAAAACGTTTGCAATGCATCGCATATAGAACCAATAGGATTCACGATAGCTTCTGCATCGCCTAAGGTAATAAATAACGCTGACAAATGAGAAAAAGGTTAAGGAATATGCAGCTAAACAGCCTATACTGCTGTTTCTGTAAATGCACAGCGCAAGAGTAATGCTTGCTTAATAAAAACTACTCCTTGCGCTATGACTGTACTGAAGAACAGGTTGCCCTTACTTCGAAAAAGACGGATGAAGCCTTTTCACACATTCTTATTTCTGAACCTCTTTCGGGTTGATACATGATATATCCATTCCAAAAATTTTAAAATAAAAAGGAACAGCATCAGGCCTCAGAAATAAATTTTG